TGAGCGGCCGGGAGCCAGGCCTCTCTTAACTGGAGAATTGGCAGCTAGCTGTTTGGAACGCTGCCTTGAACGTCTGACTGAACGTTTTTATTATCCTTTTTGCCCAAAGGTGGCTTTTAGACACCCACAGCAGCATAGGGCTTTCTGATTGGGATTCGACAGAAGGGAGCCAGAAAGCTGTCTGCCCCTTCTGCCATGCCTGGGGAACCCCACGGAGGAAACCGCCACCCCCTCCCCAACCCAAGGGTAGACTTGCCCTCCCTCACCTTTCAATAAACTGCAGACCTTCCAGGGGACTCGTAAAATCGGTGGGGAGCTCCGAGAGCGAGGGGGGATGTGGAGTGGAAGGGAGGGGGTCCGGGAGACCGAGCGGAGCGTGAGGCAGGCCCAGGGACTCTCAGGCCAGATGCTAAAAAGGAAAGGGAAGAGGAGAGCCCAAAGCAGAGAGCGTGATGCCATGAGAGGAGTCAAGTTGAAGATGAAGATCAGACTCCAAGAGAACAAGAACGCTGATGGGGAAAGGCCAGAAAGAGAGAGAGACAGAGAGAGAGGAGCAAAGGAAGCATCAGAGAGAGGGAGAGTGAGGGAGAGAGAGAGAGAGGGAGAGGGAGAGAGGAGCAAAGAAAGCATCAGAGAGAGAGAGAGAGAGAGAGGGAGAGAGAGAGAAGCAAAGGAAGCATCCTCACCCAAGTCCCTCCAATTCCAGATCTGCCTTGTCAATGGCAATTAAGCCACGAAGGGCCTGAGCTGCCATTTTTATGGAGTTATTTTCATTGTTTCATCCCTCAGTCGAAAAGGCCTGCTTTTCACCGGGGTGAACACTGGCTGCTGGCAATCTTAGATGAAGGGTCGCAGGCCCGAAAGCAGTAGTTTGTTGTTTGGTCCGCTTTCCCCATTTCCCAGCGGGAACTACAATGCACCGAGGTCTCGGGAAGCGGATTGGAGGCAAACACCAACACGAGGCTGTTCTTAGAGAACACGTGGGCTGTGAGCGTCCAAAGAGATGGTGTCTGTGGAGGAGGCCAAGCACAGCCCCAGGGGCAAAAAAGGCTCTTTCGGGGTGCCTGCCGCCTTTTGTCTCGTTTTCATTTGAGCCCCCCTCAAACCTCCCCGCCCCCCAGCAACATGAGCACACATCCCTCAGTTGATAACTCCTCCCTTAGAAACATCTCAAAGTCCTCTTGCTGAGATGTAGAGAATCAAGATTCAACAGGACCAAAGTGCAGTAGGATCAGGGAGTTTGGAAGCATTGTTTCCTTAACAAGAAGGAGAATGAAAGTTTCTGGAGTTTGACTACACACAAAGTACCTCCTCACACATCAGCCCCTCTGGATACACGTGAGGCCCTGGCATACAAAGAATGGCAGATGTCGTTCAGATTCCCAATTAGCAGAGAAAGGAAGCAACAAAATGCGTCCCAGGAACCTCGGTGAACACGCAGATTCTCCACCTCTAATCTGCAGACACGCCATGAGGACTCCCTGACGGAGGCTGTATCTTTACCTGCACCCTAATGATTCCCAGGACACGAGTCTGAGAGGCACAGGGCTAGCAGTTTGGAGTATATGATCTGTATCTCCACGGGATGTTTTCCCAAAGCTCAGCAATTTCTATTTCTACAGAAGACGCCATCGAGGCTCAAAGAGGTGAAATGCCTTATCCAAAGTCACATCAGAGTCCATGGCAAATCGGTAAGAGATGTAACCAGAAACACATAACAAACTAGAAATAAATATGTAACTAGGAACAATAGAAATGAAATCTAGATTTTTCCCGACTTCTGGTTTCCCCTGTTCTTTCGGTTTACATCAGACTGCCTCCTTGACGCGGGCAAGATTTGACACTTGATTTGGTTCTTTCGGACCCGATTTGGTTCTTTCGGACACTGGTTCTGTCATGGTTGCTCCCAACACGGGTAATGCTAGTATGCACATTTGTGTGTGCCTCACAGCACCATTCCTGATGAAACAGGCCACTGAGCATGGTCATGCTCTTCTAAATGCTGTCCTATGAAAAATACCCACTTGCTTCTACTCAGACACTATTTTAGTTTTTAACCAAAATCTTTGAGGCACAAGAAATGGAAGGATCATTATTCCAATAGCCAAAGTGTAATAATATTAGGTGTGCCAGGCACCATTCTGGATTCTTAATATTTGCATTAAATTAAACGGATGAGCTCATTCACTTTTTTAAAGCAAACCACCGAGGTAAGTACTAGCATTACCTAATGAAGACAGTGAGACCCAACATGACTCCCCACATTTGCACAACCCTAAATTGTAGGGCTGGGCTGTGAAGAAGGCTTTTTTGGCTTTGGGGGTAGCAAGGTTAACCACCACTAATGCTGCCTCTGCTATGAGGCGGGGGGGAGATACTGGGTATTGGGTGGCAGGAAGAGTTCTCTGTAGGTAAGTGTTAGTGGAAAGAAACAAAATCACCCCCCAGTAGCTCAGGACTGTTTCAGCCACATAGAACTATAAACTTAGTTTTGCAAAAGGCTTCTAAAGGTACATTTAAAAGAATCCATCACCTTGAAAATCAGATTATCAATCAAAGAACAGAGACGCAGAAGTGACCATGAAGCTGATGTTGTTTGGTCATTTTATTTCATAGATGAAGAAATCAGGGCTCTGAGAGGTAAAGCTATCTTCTCCAAAGTCTCAGATCACTCAAAGATAGCAGGTATTGAGCAAGCTGCCTAGGTTGCAAATACAATCAGTTTCTTGAAACAGTGCCTTGGGTGAGCGTATCAGCAACGGATGGGTCTATTGCCATAATAATGCTCCATCATAAACAATCACAAAACCTCAGTGGGATGCAATAATAAGTGTTTATTGCTCACTAGTCTGGTGTGGTTGGCTAGGTGCCTCTGCTGATCCTGACTGGGCTTTCATAGTTTTGGGCTGAGCTGACTGTTGGCTGATCTAGGATGGCCACAGCTGGGGCAAGTTGGCTATGTTCCATATGTCTCTCCTCCTCTCACTTGGAAAAATTCTCATGTCAATGCAGGATGTGCAAGAACACAAGTGGAGATATGCAAGCATCATTTCAAGTCCCTGCTTGCCTTGTCATGACTCCAATAATTTCTTTGGCCAAAGCAACTCCCGTGGCCAGCCCCAGATCAGAATTAAGGACACTGCAGTTCAACCATTAATGCAACTGATCTACCACTGTAAGGAGGAGGCACAGCATTGCATAGTAAGAACTTCAAGGAGGAGAAAAGAAATCAAATAAGCCAAATTATGCCATGTTCGTTTTAACCTCTAAACCCTGAGGTCACACTTTCCATTTTGGGGAACACTAGCTACATTTAATAAATGGAGAGAAATCCATCGTTTGGTTAAAATCAGGGAAGTACCCAATTTAAGAAGTGTGTATCATTTTATAAAATTAGGTACACCATGCCAGCAAGCATCATACTGAATTTGGGAATTTGTAACTTATTCATAGAAAAATGCAGGTAGATCCTTTTTTAAGAAGTATCTGAGAAAACAAAATTGAGTGTTTATTCAACTGAAATTGAATTCTGAAAAAGAAATTAAAATTGTTTTATAAATATGTATGTTTAAAGTATAAATTATATATATATGCATATATGTCATGCTAAAAACTGAGTTTGCTTTGGCAAAATAAATATGGTTTAATTTATAAAACTATAATGTATTAGCAATTTATAAAAGTTTAATATGTTTGCAGCTTTTCCAGAATTCATCTACCACTAATTTGGATACACATAATGAAACATTAAAATGCTTTGCATTGGTTAAATTAGAGGCCTGTTTTTTTTAGATGGAGATCTATTTTTTAATCTTTATTTTTAATATGTATGAGTGTGTGGGGTAAATGTTGTTTAAGGATTAAAATATCTTCTTCAGGTAGGTAAAATTCAAATGTCACTTTTTTTTTTAATTGTAGCTGTTATTCCTGGTAAAGACCAAAACTATTTTCACCTTTTCTCCCTGCCATTTTCTATCACTTTCCAAATCTCTTTAAAAGATCTTTTTATTTTTTTATTTTTCAATAATTAAAAAAAAATTTAATGTTTATTTATTTTTGAGAGAGAGACAGAGACAGAGACAGAGACTGAGCACAAGTGGGGGAGGGCAGAGAAAGAGGGAGACACAGAATCCAAAGCAGGCTCCAGGCTCTGAACTGTCTGCATAGAGCCCAACGTGGGGCTTGAACTCAATGAACTGAGAGATCATGACCCAAGCCGAAGTCAGATACTTAACTAACTGAGCCACCCAGGCACCCTGAAAAGAGTATTTTAAAAGCACACATGTACCCACAGAGCCCCATAAGCATGCTAACATCCATAAAAGCAAGAAAAGAAAAAAAAAAGCACAAGCAAAACAACAAACACACAATCCTACTAACATAAATCCTTGCAAAATCTATTAATACAAAGTATCTCACGTACTGCATTCCGGTCCAGTCACAAAATAAAATATAAACATAAATATCAAATGGCTCCATTATAGTTGTTGCCTCTCAAAAAAAAAACTGAGATTATGGAGCTTTTGATGTCCTTTTTTTTTTTTTTTTTTTTCCCTTTCTAAATAAAATTGTTGTAAACAGGTTAATATTGTACTGCTATCACGGGTCCCTTGCCAGGCCACTATAAGGGGTTAACTGTTTAAAATTTGATATTAAAATTTTAAATTTAAATTTGAGTTAGTTAATGTACAATGCAATATTGGTTTCAGGAGTAGAATTCGATGATTCATGACTTATATACAACACCCAGTGCTCATCACAAGTGCCCTCCTTAGCACCCACCATCCATGTAGCCCATCTCCCACCACCTCCCTCCATCAATCCTCAGTTGGTTCTCTTTGTTAAGAGTCTCTTGTGATTTGTTTCCTTATCTTCTCAAGTACGACGCAACAACATCTAAATTCAAGAATTCCAAATTGTCTTTGTCAAAATGCCCCACTCTCCAGGTAAGTGCCTTTTTTTTTTTTCATACTTTAAGGAAATCCTAAATGTTGTTTTACCTGATGATCTTTGATTTATTAGAGGAAGCATGTTTTCTTAATCCTGGAGACAACAGTAACTTCATTAACCTGTAGGTGGAGAAAAGCAAGCGTTATAAAAGTAATATGGATTAAATGAAAGGACAACCCAGAGGTTGACAGATTGGATTAGTTGTGGGGTTTTCTTTCCCACGTTCAGTGGCATGTAGAATTGCCTCCTAAGGAGTAATTCAGCCTTCTTGTGGGACCCATCTATTTGCTATTAAAAGTTTAATTATTAATCTCCAGTCACTATTTATCAACAACCATTCAACTTGGCGATGTCTTGGGACATATATCTGTTCTCTCTAGCTGTGGGTTTTCCTTTATTGGCTTTCAGCCTCGTGACTTCCCTGGGTGAAATCTGAATCTGCCCCTGACACGAAAGGCAAAGATACAGAAGACAGAGGCAGACCATTCCAGATGGGCAGGTGACAGGTTTAAGAAGCAAGGGAACTTACTTCCAAGGCTCATCCTGGGTGCCACAAGATAAGAAGAGCCCTGCACCCACTGCAAGAATCTTAAATGTTTATGTAGAGGCCTGACAGGGTTCAGTCACTCCAGAGTCTGTCTCAGGGCTGCATCCTAGGAAATGGCCCCAGCTGTGGGTGTTGTGGGGGTCTATTCTCCTACATTATTTCAAGGATGGGGGGTCCTGGGGAGTTTGGGGCCCCCCATCGCCTAAGGTCATGTCTCTGGTAGGGGGTGGGGATGGGGATATGTTATCTCAAAGGCCTCCTCCAACATCTTTATATTTGACTATTATCTTCCAAGAATTTGTCAGGAAAGGTATATATGACTGAGTTACTCTTAAGAGATTCCTGGGGAATCAAATTTTCTTGAGGACATGCCATCTGAAATGAGACCGGCTCCATTACAACCAATGTTCACATACACTGGAGCTTTTCATTTTCCCTACATGAACAGAAATGCGCCAATGGATTTTACCTGTTGAAATCTTTTGTTTGTTTTCAACCTGTCATTCTGTGTTATCCCGTAGGTTCTGGTTGTACGCAATTACAAAGGTGGCAGAAAGGCCCAAACAACTCTTTGAAGTAATACATTCAGTCAAATACATACACACACAGTCATTGTAGCAGAAAACACCCCTCATTTTGTTTGTTCGTTTTCTTGCTTATGTTTGTTTAATCCTGGGACTGAATTTATAGGTAAGAGCCATCAGATAGACACAGTCTCATGCCATATTCCTCTTGTTCCTGGAACGGGTATGTTTCCCATTTGATTAGCTGATTTGCCCTCTGGAAGCAAAACAGCACATTCCTTTTAGTATCTTACTTTTTTTCTAATAATAGGACAGATGGCAGCCAAAAGGATTCTATAGACTCAGGTGGCTGTTTACCAAATGGATATATATACTGCCAAGTGAAAATATATATATTTCCACCTGCTTTCATAAACATTATCTCTTGGATCCTTGCAAGATCCATTATTAACCATGTTAATAACCCCAGCTGGAAGATTGTTAAATCTTTCTAAATTCAATAGCCTTTTCCTATTTCTTCCTGAAGGTACATAGACTATTAGCTTGTATTACAGTTATTTGTGGATGTAGCTATCTACCCTAATAGGCTGTAAATGCCTCAGGAGCAGGGGTTGGTTTTTTCAATCTCTGGAATCCCCTCAGCACCTGGTGCCATATGAATGAGGGCAAGTTTGCCCAATTAGCAAATAAACTGAGCTGACCTGCAAGGCTAACTTCATTAGCATATGGCCTACACAGTTGTCCACATTCTCATGTCCAGAAGTGCCCCATGTTTGGTTTAATGCTCCTCAGTCACCAATTTGAAATGTGTAATAGTTTTTGAACAGGTGCACCTCCCTCGTTCTCATCTGGCACTGGGTCCCACAAATTATATAGCCAGTCCCACTAAGCTACATGGGTCTATGTAGTAAATAATATACTTTGCACGCGCACACACACACACACACACACACACACGGTTATCCCTTTGCCTCCAGATCTTGGGAGATAAACTCTAAGCCCTTGTCTAAAAAAGGGTGACTTTGTTTACCTGGGGGTGTTGGGCCATTCTGGTAGTCTCTGGTAACCATGTGATTTATGGTTTGCACCTTGGGCCACATGGTGTCAGCTCACCCTCAGCAGGGGCTGGAGACTAAGGTCAGTCATACTTTGTCGAAGTGACCAACCCTCAATAAAACTCTGGACACCAAGCTTGGGTGAGCTTCCACGGTTGACAACATTCTGTGTGTATTGTCACACACTGTTGCTGGGAGAAATAAATATTGTCCAAATGACTCCACTGGATGAGGACAACAGGAAGCTTATGCCTGGTTCCTCCTGGATCCTGCCTTATGCAGCTCTTCCCTTTACAGATTTTGATCTTTCCTTTCACTGTAATAAACCAAAATGAATATACTAGCTTTGTTGAGTTCAACGCGCCATTCTACCGATTACTGAATCTGAGACTACCCTCAGTTACTGGGGACTTCGCAAACTCACGAGGTGATATTAAAGGGTTCCCATTTTCTCTGACTTACTAGTAGGTTTAGTTAACGGAGAAGCCACACAAAAGACTGGACAACAACAACAACAACAACAACAACAACAACAACAACAACCAGGAAGAAGCCCAAGGAATTCATAATCCTGATTCTCTCCCTGTGAGAGAACATATTAAGCTGGCCGTGTTCCTGAAAGTCACAGGGCTTAATGCTCCTCACAAAGCATCTTTTTCTATATCACTCCCTCTCCTCCTGACTTCTGGGACTATTTCCTTAATCTTTTCTAGTAACAGCCCTTCCACTGCTAGCTCTGGATTCTTGTCTTGTGGGTCTCTTACATTCAGCCACACTTTTGTATAGCTGACCCTTAAACAACATGGGTTTGAACTGTGCTGGTCCATTTATATGAGAATTTTTTCCAGTAAATACAGTACAGTTTTGTAAATGTATTTTCTCTTTCTTATGATTCCCTTAATAAGATTTTCTTTTTTCTAGCTTACTTTATTGAAGTAATACAGTATATAATATATATACCATATAAAATATGTGTTAATTGACTGTTTATGTTATCAGTAAGGCTTCCAATCAATGCTAGGCTATTAGCAGTTAAATTTGGGGGGACTCAAAAGTTATATGTGGATTTTTGACTATATGGGGTCAACTGTAATTAGTTCCTTTGTAAGTAATCCCCAATTTTCTTTTTCTAATTTGGGTGTGTCTTATGTTTCTGGCAGGACCCTGACTGATACAAAATATAAGAACACAAAGTATGTAAAATTTTTGGAATTGCATTGTCTTAAATTTTGCAACAAAACCTGTAATACATTTGTAGTCAAGAAAAAACATACTATTTTGAAAAAGTAATGACACACCTGAACAAGTAGCAATTGCACTGTCAGACATCTTAGTCCCTAAGTTTAGCCCCCTCTTCATTTGACCGCCTCTCTAAGGATGATAATTCTCCTCTCCCTTGGTCCCTCTCCATCACCCATTGGTTGCTCCGGCCACTATATCTTCTCTCCTCAGGCTGTGAAAATCTCTTATAATTGCTGAGTGACTACTTGCAGTTTAATCCTGGAGTTTTTGTTTTATCTTACTTTTAGTCCCCGTATATATTGAGGGTGGTTTCTGGGGGGGGGGGGGGCAGGTTGATTCTATCCTCCCTCCAGTCTGGTTTTAACATTCCCTGTGCAGAATGGCGGAGTGGAGGACAGGACACTGGAAAGAAGCAAATATGACCAGAAAGGGTCAATTTAATCATTTCTTTTGAAACAAATTCCCCCAAGAGTAAGACTGTCATCTTCTCATTACTAAGTGTGGTTTGTTTAGTTTTCTAAAAGAAAATTTATCTTACTTTTAATAATTATTTGTAAAAGAAGTGAAGACACAAAAATAATGAAGATCACAGTTAGACACACTCGGTGTTCACTGACTGCTTTATGCTTAAACCAATTCCTGGGATTATCAGTGGGAAAAGACAGCTTGCAAATATATAATATTTAGTGATACCTAGTTTCTCATAGAATTGTAAGTTGATTAAATGCTTTGTGTAGTACTTTTCATAGGGGACTTATACCAGGGACTGGAGATGGCTAGAGATTAGTGTTCTGGATCAAATCTGGGATGGGTGGGGAGAAGGGAATTAAAACTTATTAAACATCTACATCATGCTTTGCATTACAATTCATCCTTTACAAATATCACCTTCCTTAAAAATATTGTGAGATAGGTATCATCTCCATTTTATAGATAGGTGATTTGCCTAAATTTTATAGCTGGCAAGTCTGATCCAAGTCTTCATACATTTTATTGTAGCAAACTGCTTCAATTAATAATCTTAAATTATCTAGTGAACATCCTTTGCTCAGATTTTATTATCTCTCAACTTGCTTAGTAAATATATTTTGTTTAAATTTAAGCACAATAGATTATTTTGTTAAATGAACACATTTTGTTAGTTTATATTAAGGAGCAGTAACATTACCCAGGAGAATCTTCAGATATGGGAAAAGTGGCTTACTCATAAAGGAAGCCAAAAGTATTAAGGTAAGAAAAAAGCCATCAAAGATCAGAGTTTTTGCTGTTCAAAGAAAGATCTGAGATATCGACTTTCCGAGTATGGACTAGTCGCATTTTCAATGTTTAATACGGCCGAACTAACAATACAGCTATCATTTATCAGGTGTCTAACGTACTCTTCATCATAGCCCACAGTATAAGCTGTAAATGCTACTGGCACCCAAGCTGACCTTCTGTGGCCCTGAAATAGATTCCTAGGTTTAAAAAATATATAGGTGTGACTGTCTGGAAAAGTTCAGGTCCGGGTTCATGACACAGAACGGTATGAGCCACAGATTATGATTTCCTCACTTACCAGACCCAGTCTCTGTTAAGTCTGTTTCACTTAAGCAGTGTGCCTTTGGCCCTATGGGATAGTCAAAGATCATCTACCCGAGGGCTTTCGCCAAGACCAGGTTTTATTCTGATCCCCTCAATATCCTCTGGTTTGGCTGGGAGTGGTGGTGGTAGTGGGGTGGGGGGGGGGCTGTTCTCTCAGTTCCTCAGAA